ATATGATTGTTTATGGAACATCTAGATGTCTCATTTTGGGAGGAATGAAATTTGATTTTGGGTGTAGATAATATGAGTGATTATGGACCATCTAAATGTTTCATTTTGGGAGGCATGACATTAGAACTTTTAACTTGACTTCTCATTTTAGGAGACATAATATTTGATGTTTTACATGTTTTTAGTATGACATTAGAGTTTATACTTACTTTTGTTTTTTTTTTTAATACAAACATATTGATATTTCCCAATATAATATTTAAATTTAGATATGTTGATTCTTTAATTAATTAATAAAAATATTTTTCTCCTTTAAATTTAAATTAAAAAAAAATTTATATAAGGTTGGAAAAGTTTATATAAGGTTGTATTAAGGTGCACCAAAAAACTAATTGGAAAACGATGTTTTGATGTTGAAAAGCTCTCTAGTGGATCATCTCGCCATTTGAAATGAAATGTATGGAGATTAAAAAAAAAAAAGATATCGAGTCTCATAAATAATGTATTTTACAATATATTATCTGGACCGTCTATTTTCAAGAATTACGTATGTTTATAGATCTACTTGATTTGAACTATTTTTAGAATTATAATTAGAGATAAAAAAGGGACTTTCATGCTATCCTAAGAAATTTTTACAAGAAAATTACATATTGCAATAGAATTTAGAGGTGTGCCTTATTTTAAAGTTTATATAGAGTCGAGGTTCTAAACAATCAAATTGGAGCCTACCTCAACAATTTCACTATAAAATGTTGTTTTGATGCCAAATATCCTCAATTGATCAACTTGACATCAAGATGCATGGACATTAGAGAAAAAAAAAGAACAGAACAAAAAACAGAAGTAGGATTTTATGTTTTGAAAATAGTGCATTTTGTAATGTATTTTTTGACTGTCAATGTTCAAGATTTTTTTTTTTTTAAAAAAAGGTTAGGGTCGTGGTGATAGGGCACCCGCACTCATTTACCACATTGTAATATCTATTTCTACCACGGACATCCCCAATTAAAACTTTCAAAATGTAACTCCCTAATTTATTGAAAAAATGGATACAGTCCTATCTTCTCCATTGGATTACCCAAAAACAAAAAAATTTCAAGATTTTTAATTTTTTTTATAAATCTTGAAGCCTTAAATTTTATGATTAAAAATAAAAATATATTTTAAAACTATTACAAAAATTTCCACGTTTCTCTATGCTATTAGAAGGTGCGCTGTACTTTGATTGTTTGGAGCCACGGCTCTATACAAAAGGGATGCTCCTCAAAGGAAAGATATATTCATTTCACAAAGGTCTAGGATTTTCTCCCACGATCGTCTCTCTGTTCATCTCCCGTACTGATACAGAAATAGATATTCTGATTAGCCGTGGAATACTTTTCTTTTCTTTTCTTTGAACCTCTTCAGTCGCCTTTGAATTCTCTTTCTACTTGAATATTCCCCCACAATGAGAATCCCGGCCCCTTCACAGTTTTCTCTCTCCAGAATGATCGCCATGAAATGCGTTCCATGCACTGTTAATTTCTGGGTTCTTGTGTGCTGGGCTTCATTATCGTACTTGACTGTGTTTAAAGTCCATGGCTCTCTCTCTAATGGAGAGCAGTATGTTATTTCCAATATTGTTTATCCTGAAACTAGTCTCAAGCACTATGATTGGCGTTACATAAGAGGTATGGTGCTCTTTACTCTCTGCTTATGATGACATAGTCCAGGTTCTTTTGTGCTCTGTGTGGGGTTCTACATGATTTAATCTGTTGGCTTTACTTTTATTTTTTTTGGCTTTAGTTTTTCGAATCTTCTTCGGTTGCTCCTAAGTGAGTTTTGAGTGAATTGGGTTTGTCTAATTCAATTTGCTGGTTTTTTATGGGTTCCTTCCTCATGTTTTTTGTCTAGTGATTAATTGTTCCCTCCTTTTTGTTTTCATCGTTTGCTGCTTATTGTTTTTGATAGCATGGTCCTTTTTTATTCAATTTATGGGTTATGATTGATCTTTTTGTGAGTTGATTTGTACATGTAGAGGTTGTGATGTAAAAAAAAAAAGAAAAGTTGAAAGTAATAAGTTCTTCACACTCAGAGTCATTACTTCTCCCTGAATGAGAGGGATTGAGTTATGATCGCACCGTCCGATTTGATTAATTTGATGGGCTTTGATTAACATGCTGATTTTATGAATGAATTTGTAAATATAGTGGTCACTATATGGAAAGATTGAAAGTATAGAAGTTCTTTGTGCTCGAAGTCTTTACTTTTCAGTAAATTGGATCGGATTTTGATGGCCCGGGCCTGTTTGATTTGATCAGTGGGTTCTGATTAACGTGGTGTTTTAGGATTGTGTTTGATATGGATGTTAATTATGAATGAAAAATTGAAAACATGAAAGTTCTTCACATTCAGAAATAATTATTTTTTCGTGAGTAAATTGGATTGGAATTTGATTGCATCCTCTTACTTGTTCTTATTTATGGATTTTGATTAATATGTCATTTTTTATTCTTTTTTTTTGGGTTGGTCATGGCCTGTTGATGATTCAATTTGTAAATCTAGACGTGTTATTATACAAAAATAATTTGAGAATACTAGAGTTCTTGTTCTTCACACTCAGAGGTCATTATTTTGCCTGAGTATGGATGGGGTTAGTATGATCTTAATGTTATTCAATTTGTGATAAAATTCTGCTTCAACAAAAATTCATCGCACTCGAAGTCACTGGTTTCCTTGATTAAGTCGAAGGGGTTTCTGATTCATTTTTTCCTTTACTAATTTGGTTTTAGTTTGGATCAGGCCCATTTTTAGTATCAACTCTTTACAACTTGACATGCTATAGTGGTGTCCATGTACTGCCTATGCACCATGGCTTGCTTACCACACCTCTTCAAATTTCTACATTTTTTTTTGTGAGAAGTTCAGTTATTTGTGTATTGTGAACCTAGCAAACCTTTGGCCTAATTTTGAATTCCTATCTTGTATATCGACAAGTACTGGCATTTAGATGACCGAAATTTGAATGTTAAGATGCTGGCTTTTTCATAAAATGAAATCCATGCGGAATTTCGATAAACTTTCAGCAAAAAATGGGCATGTTTCAGCCAGCTATTTTTATATTCTTCTCATCTTTAATTCTCTTAGTAAAACTTGTATATTCATATATCACATGTATTAGTATATATTTAGTTATTATTCTATACAAATTACCTTACAGTAGAACCTACATGGAGATGAAGTAATCCATTTCTAAGCCACTCTAATTACATTAATATAAAATTCTGAATGAATAAATTGCATATCATCTTATGTAGTAATTTTTATCACGAAAGCTTTTTGTTCTCATAACAGTATAAAACAAGTAAGTGAATATCCCCTGATATAACATTTTATATACTCTTATAGGAACAATAGTATATTAACAATGAATAACGAACTTAACTCTACCTCATATTGTCTATTAGTGCATCCATGATTCTTACTAACTAATATTTTGCTTTGGATGTTACTGATTCTGCAATATGAGCCATAGCTTTTTTTCTCTATTTGCATGTGATTTTCTTTCATCGATTCTTTCATATTTAAGCAACCTATGTGCAGATTTTTTGCAAAGCTTATTCTTTATTGTGTTATGAAAGATGATTATTAAATAATGTGCTGATCTTTAATATGCAAATGCTTGGATGGGATGACATATGGTGCAAATCTTTTTTTTTTTTGAGTCTAAATTATTTTCTTTTATGGAAATTGCATTCATTTCTATTTTGTATGCTTTGTTTCAGTTGAGATATCGCCTTGGTTTTCTTCCATGTCCATGATTCTGACATCAAATGCTGATTATGTGAGTATGCATACTGTTGCTTTCATGAATGAAGTCTGAATATCTCCTGTGCTATTCTTTACCCATTAATGTATTTGGCTTTATGACTGCTAGTGATAAATGGTATTCCTTCTCACTGAACTCTGTGAGGGAACATGTAATCATATTAATACCTTCATTGTTAGGGAATAGTATTGGTGAGATGGTTTATCACTTGACGTGTACTCTCCTCCGCCCCCGTGCACCACCATATCTCCTGGGTCTTCTCATTTCTCATTGAATTCAGTTTTTCACTGAAATACATTTTTTGGCTTTATTATTAGCTGTGTTATGTGATGGCAGCGAGTATATAATTGCTTCTATTCCTATTGGCATAGTTTGATTTATGTCAATAGATGCTGTTTCTTAACACAACTGTTTCACTTCTTTTGATTTCAGTTCCTTGGCCTAATCGAAAGATGTTGTAAACCATAAAGTCCCTTCACTTGATTTATGGGCTGATTGTGAACTATTTCATATTTTTCATGGAGGGCTTGTGTTGGAAAGACACTTCCTAATGATTTGTTTACCTTACCCCTTAGATATTCATCTTCATGAATACCACATCATAATTTGTTCATCATGATAGAGTGGAACTGGCTTTTCAGAGAGTGAAATATAGGAAGCTAAAGATGTATTCAAACATTGAGAAATGATGGCCTCCTGTCAGAAACCAGCGCAAGCTTCTTAGTTATATACGCTGCTTCCAGAATCCTGTCAGGTTTTGAGTTCCTTGTTACTTGAACAATTTTTAATTTCACAAAGCATGCAACAGTTTTCATCATTTAGTTCAACACTACTACCAACTTTCTTTCTCAAATTAGGTTTGTCAACAGTACATATTAAGTTTTGACATTTTTGTACCATGATTTGAAAGTCAAATGCATAAAAGATGGAATTTTGTTCTTGTTGCTTCTTATACCCAGTTTGGTTACATGCAATGACAATCCTCGACAGTTTGACTTACATCATGCATTATGCAGGATGAGGAAAGCTCAAAAAAACTTCCCAAGGATATGTTGCCAGTTATATGCATAAGGGTTGGTGGTCCCCCACTCCCTGATGCATCTAATAACTCTTTGAAACGTGAAGGTATTCTGCAACTTCACCAACATTCTGCTTTGTTTCTGTAGGTAATGATTTTATTCATCTATTATATATAGTATGTTGCATGTCATGTTCTCCTTGAATAGCTATCCTAAGATATATTTTCAAACTAATGAAGGAATTTATCTCGTCATATGCAAATGTTATGCAAGACAGCTAAGGTCTATAACTTCTTTTATCCGTTTTTATTCTTTCCCCAGTAAGGGTATTTATGCCATTTCTCCAGTAAGGGTATTTATGCCATATATGCCATGATGGTGGTATATATGTGCTTTCATGCTTTTATTCTTGCCATGAGAGGAAGTAGATGGTTAGGTGACTGGATCTTCACATTCAAAGTAGAAGTTGATTATGGGGTGCATTGGATGATTGGAATCATGTAACGATAAGAGGGAAGAAGGTTCTTAGGTATGGGATTGTAAGCTTAGGCTATACAAATACTTTCTTGGGTGTGGGGGACACATCTCTTAAATGTTCTTATCTATTTTAAAGCTACAATAAAGAAGAAATATGCAGCAGATCAGGGAGCTAGAGGGGAATTGATAAATTGGCATCTTGCTTGTTGTGTAGTGGTGTTCGGAAGTGATCCGGCTGCTTTGGTGTCAACATATTCTCATTGTGTAGATTTTAGTGATTATCTTTGAAATATCAAAACTACCAAAGGGGTCAATGCCTTTTAAGGTGTGTCCAGTACTAAGAGTTATACTTGTGTATAGGCAACACAGTATAAGCTTCTACTGCCAAAGGGGTCAATGACTATTTCTAGTAAAGCTTCTACTGCCTCCAAGTTTGTATCACTAGATTGCAAAGATGAGGATACTCATAGAAATGAATGCTCATTCAGTATGCTATTTTTTTGCATGAGTTGCATTACCAAATACTGACTATGTTGTGAAATATTGATACTTGTAAGCATTAATATGAATTTTGACTAAGTTGTTTTTGTAATACTTTTGAATCTACACCTGTTCTGGATAGATTGGGTTTTATTTCTTTAAGACGAAAATATCAAAGGCCGTTAAATTAGTTGAATGCATCATGCTTACCACTGGGACTAAAATAGTGCATTGAAACTTGAATCTTCATAAGATCTTTTATGTAAAATCTCTTCTTCTTTGATGATAAATCCCTTCTTCTTTGATGCAGTACTTGATGTAGATATCAATAGATTCCTTAATGATATAAGAGCTCTCCCTGCTATGGATCAATGCTTTTTCTTTCAGAAAAGCTTGGCATTGGCCTTAACAAATGAGCAGGTTTGTGTTGAAATTGATTATTTCAATATAATACAACTATATTTCATGTCTTAAGAGTCACAATTTTGTTTCTGGCCCTCTCTTATGGAGATGATTTCCTTTGAGATCTTCATAAATTCTGTTTTTTTTTTTGAGAGAACCTCATGAAAAAAATTAAAAAGGAATTCTTTATTAGAAAAAAAGGAAATAGTCAAGAAATTAAAATTCCCTCAATATCAAAACTATTTCAAATTTTGAAAAACTCTGTATTTGTGGAAGCATGTTGTGATTAGTATTAACGACATGTCAAATTTGTTTTGCTGCAAGTTTCATGCTTTTATTTGGTATCTATTTAGAAGCTTTTTGTCCCTGGTGTTTTTCAACATGGCTTCTGCTTTTGTTGATGTCAACATTTGTGTGCTCGTTTGAATGTGTTTTTCTCCCTGGTTCTGTGTCTCTATGCTTTTAAGCAAATTATACTGAAATGCTCGTGTTCACGGTTTAGAGGCTATTATGAATACTTCGCTTTAATTCGTATTTCTTTTGTGAAAGAAAAATTCATGTGGCCATAGCTAATTAGGACCATGCAGGTTTCTCCAGGAATCCTGTATATTGGATTTTTCAATGGCATTGGACCTGTGAGGACACAATCAAAGATGGTAGGTTCTTTTTTGTGAATTGTACACCTGGGTTTTATTTTTTCTGGTAAGTAAATGCACATTCTAAGCTTTTGCACATCATCATTATCCGAGCCTTATACCAACATACTATGGTATCTTTTGCACATTCTTGCACATGCAACATAGTATAGTATATTTTGGGCCTGGAATTGCTAAATTTCTTTTTGGATTTTAATTTTTTTTTCTTTGAAGGAATTCAACTAGCCAACCCCCAATAGTTGGGATAAGGCTCAGATGATGATTATGAAGTCAATCGAACTTTCCTCTTTTTTTTCCTTATTTGTTTTTCTATTTATGGGGTTTTCACATTCAGTTTTGAGAATGTTAAATGTGCTGGAAGCTTTGGCATCATCCATTTTTTGAGTTCATGATATGCAAGATCCTTTTGCAAAATGACAAGATGAGTGAATGAGCTCAAAGAACACAATCTGCTTTGTTTACATACTATTCCAAAGACAGTCAAGCACATACCTTTTCTGGGTAGAGATACAATAAGCTAATGGAAAAACAATTTTTGTATATTTTCCTTGATTCAATAATTTATGTATGGAAAAAAGAAAAATTTGGGGAAAAAGGAAGTTAAAGCAATGGTTAACGGAAAATTTTTATATGCAACATATTTGTGATTTCTGATGGGCCAAGATTTGACAAATGGCATTATATAGAGCATATGCCAGTGACCTACAAGACTGAAATGCAACAAATGATCTAATATGTATGAAACGAAAGAAAAATTACATGCACATGAATGGAAGATGGCAAATAAAATTATAATAAAGACGTGCCTCTATTGTGAATCAATTTATCAAATTTCTGCATGTGCATTTCCTCTCTTATTAGTAGTGAATTTAACCTCTGACTTGGCTTGGGACTTGGCATGGTCCCATTTGAATCATATCAATTTGAACATGCTGAGTATCTCTATAAACAACAAATGAGGGCAAGAATTAGTTGACTCAAACCATGAGACTCATCAGGGGGCCAATGCAAATTGACTCGACAAGTTGTAAAACACTATGTTGTAGTTTCACATGTTTCTTTAATCATCAATATCTTATTCAATTGTAGTATAGTACAATGATTAATTTATTTGTTAGTGGAAATTTAGGTATATTTGCCTATGAACTTATCCGTTTTTTTATAGTGTGATTCACTATTTGCAGGTTAATTGCCATTCACAATATTTTTTATGATTAATTGCTGTTCACAATATTGATTTTGTTATTATGAGAGGCGATTTATTTGGAAATATAAGAGGCCGTCTTATTAAAATCTTTATGCAGAAATTGTGATCTTATTGCTTTTGATACCAAAATGAGACGTACTGATTGTTAACAATTTGCTACGTCTATTCTATGTGTTTTGAGATTCATATGTCTCATAATTATTTGCTTTTTAGCTAGAACTTTGTGCTAAAATTTCATAACATAAATGCAAAACTTTATGTGATTTTTGTTCTATGGTCATTAACTCAACTTTATGCCTGCACACAATACACACACATAATCCCCAATTCTGTCTGATAAATGTTTCTGAAAATGCAGATTAATCGAGGCCCAACATACAGATTCAGTGCCAATATCAGTGTGCTTGGATGCAGTGCCCCATCCTTTTGGGGCCCGTACTGCAATCAAACATTTGTCATGCTTTCCTGTGCTAAATCCGATTTGTACAAAAATCCGAGGAATCTTTTGGATTTAGGCATTCATAAGCCTCTGAAGTATACTAATTATGATTTTGGGACTTCTGGGTTTTCAATGGACAATGATACTTTAACATCTAGACCCAAGATTACTCTTGATGGGCACAGTTTACAGAAAGCAACTCCCAACTTTCATGTGAATAAACCTGTTAAAAAACGCCATTTACGAGAGGCAGCAGAAGATGCAATAATTTGCAAGAATCCTTATGGTGAGGTGTGCCTTAAGGAAGGTGAATGGGAAGTGTATTCCTTGGAGTTATTGGGCATTTCCTCCCAGTTGAATATTTTGGCTGGAAATATAGCAGTTAATCAAACTTCTAATGAACTGGATGGCAATGGTAACAACTCTGTCATTGATGATCAAATACAAATAATGGCTTATGCATGTCATGATGCTATTCCCACTAGGGCTTCATATGATCACTCTGGGAATATAAGTAATAATACTTTGACCATCCAGTTCCCAAAATTGGGGAGGTGGTATATTGCTATTTATGTTATTGGGAACCACTCAAGAACACAAGGAGATGAGGAAGTTGTATGCTTTTCTTTGGAGTGGCAAATAGATGTGTGTCCTTCTGAAAAGGCAGGAGCAAATTGTACATGGGACAGGAATATGCTTCAGGTGGGTTAATTGGTAAATATGCATGTGACGCAGTGAGAGTTCTATACTATAATCAATTGGGCTAATGAAAACCAATGATTCATTGGGTCATCACTGTCTATTGAAATGATGGATTGTGATGGAGAGAATGTGACCCACCATTGCCTCCATGAGGTCATGTCTTTGTCTATTGGGTTCCATTCTCTCTGCCTTGAATTTTCATGAATGCAATTCGCCGTCATATCCCTTCGGTATGGAAATGATGATTAGATGTTTCATAATTAGGACGCTTATAATTTATTGCTTTTCTTTGCTCATTATTTGGTCTGGATTTGATTGTTCTTTTTATTACCATTGATTGGAGGAGAATGGTTTTGTGCAGCGGGTTCTTAGAAGAGGTGGATCTGTACCTTTTGAGTCTTACTATGTTCCAACTGGTGAAAAGTCAGCAGTGTTTCCCCTGGGACCCCTTTTAAGCAACTCTTCTTTTGATAACAAGCTGCAACTTGCTTGGACATACTTTATTGTAGATGTACCTCGTGGTGCGGCTGGAGGGAATCTACAACTTGAATTGAAGTCTGATGCAAAAATAAAATATGAAATTTATATCAGATTTGGTGGAATACCATCTATTGACATTTGGGACTACCAGACAAATGGGACAAGCACCGACAATGATTCTATATTTCGGATTTCAAATGGGTCTGGGAGAGGAAATATAAAATTTCTTATGTTATATGTTAGAGAAGGCATTTGGGTTTTTGGACTGAGGCATCCTTTGGATGCTCAGCTGAGCAATCAGGATACCATGTCTGTAGCTCTTGAGGGATGCCCAGATCGATGCTCTAATAGTGGGAAGTGCCATTCTGCAGTAGATGACAGTGGTCTAACTTTATACAGGTTTCCCATTTCTCAGAAATCATTTCCTTCACTTGATTTCCATTATTTCAATTCTTTTAAGTGTAATCATTTTAATTTGGGTCGGCTAATGTATTACATCTGTTAGTTTTTGGTCTTGTGCACGATATCTGTTATGCTTTGAGTTTCTTATAAATGATTCCTTTCTCAGCTATTGCACTTGTGACCGGAGGCATGGAGGCTTTGACTGTTCTGTGGAACTTGTATCACATGAAGGTAGATCTAAACCAATCAATACAAAATTCCTCTTATTTCTATTTTGAAGGCTTCATACGAATATATAATTGTGTTTGTATGTGTGCCTGCAAGCATGTCATGGCATGAAATAATTTTTTCTATTGCTTAAATATGGACTACTTTCTTTTTTTACTGCTGTACATGTTCTTGCAATTCAAATTTAAGTAATCTTGAGCTATTCCATATCATCGTGTTATCTTCTGGTATCATATAGTTGGCCATCTTTTCACAGGAGTGTTATTCTTATCTTTTCCTTGTACTACTTAAAAAGTGATCCTTTCTCTTTACTGAAATATCTAAACGACAAATTCCCAATATGAATTCTAGACTGGTATGTCTCTCAATAATTTCTAGACTTGTATTTCTTGTTGGATTTATGCTGTTTGTGCCTAAAGTCATAGGATTAACACTTCTTGGCTTGCTTTCTTCAAGTGCCTGATTTACTGTCATCTGAAAATTTAAGTGCAGAACATATGTGGCAGTCTATTGCACTTATATTTTCAAATATAGCAGCTGTATTTCCTGCATTATGGGCTCTTCGCCAGAAGGTATGAACACGTTCATGGCTATAGATCTTAAAGCTGTTTTCTCTAGAAAGTCAGAGTGATATGGCATGGCCTTTAGTATATCAAAACTTTATTAATTTGATTCCCATTTTATAATGAAATAAACCATTGGAACTTTAGAAATCGGTCTTTTCTTATTTGAATCTTACAGACTATCATTGCGACCAGTTGCATGTTTCTAATCATATGCTTCCATCTTATTGTTGTTCATAAGTGTACCTTATTGCTTTTATATTAGAACACAAATAGACGATTTTGATATCTCAGGTCTGCCTTAAGATTCATCAAACGGATGAATAACCAAACTACCAGAGAAGTTTCAAGAAAAATTTGCTGCACAGTCAATCAAAATATGACTAGTCGCGTGTCCCCTCTGGTCCCATGGTTTCTCATATTAAATGTATAATAAACTATAATTTACAACAATACCCCTAATGAACTATAATACCATAAACATCTCTTGGTCATGTTTACAATTACTAGATGACCATAATAAGAAGAAAATATACGTGAAAAGTACAAAAGTTAATTACATATTTTCACTTCCCAAATTGCCGTTCTCTCTGCACTTCTCAAATTGGCATGGGTAATCAACAAGCATTGGTATGTATAAAAAGATCATGACACTTCCAAGGCATAGCTTCTGTAAATATATCTGCCACTTGGGCAACTGAAGGAATATGTGGAAGAATTAGATCACCCTATTGTTACTAACCCAAACAAAGTGACAATCAACTTCAATAGTTTGACCTTTAATGAAAGACTAGTCTTGGATGACTAATATTTTCAGAATAAGGTGGAGTCAGAGCAGTCTGCTGAATTCCGTATCATTAAGAAGTCATCTAATCCACACAGCCTCAGTATTGGCAGAAGGGATAGCTATAGTAATCTGGTTTAGATATGGATTTGGAAACAGTTGATTGCTTCTTATATTTCTATGAGACAATTGATGAACCAAGGGATAAACAGTGTCCTGTAGTGGAGCAACAAGTGTCAGGATGTCCAGCATAGTCATTATCAATAAAGGCCACCAGCTTGAGTTGACTTTTAATAGAACAGAAAAAATATGTCTTAATTCCATACAGATAGCAAATGGCTTGATGCACAACAGTTAAGATTGGGTAACAAGGACATGAGACAATTGGCCCAGGCCATGGACAGCATGGCTAATGTCTGGTCATCTTGAGGTGTTCAAGACTCCCAACAAGGTGTCAACAAGTAGAAGGATCGGAGATTCTATCGCCATCATCCTTTGTATACTTCTGATTACATTCTAATGGAGTATCAATAGTCTTTGAATCTGTGAGATTGGGAAGTTATATAAGATCTTGATTTTGGGTATATTTCTGTTGTGCAATTCACTAACCTTGTGGAGTACGGGACATTCTAGTCCCAGAAATATTGAAGAATTCCCATGTCCTTCGTTTTAAAGGTGTTGAGGAGAACCTTCTTCAATGCCTGAACTCTTGCTCAATTATCTTCAGTTATGAGAGATCATCAACATATACATGAAGAAGGATTCTGCAGCACATATATGCCGAGTAAACTAGATGTGGTCATTAGGGCTTTAAGCATGGCCAGCTCCACAAATATCCAACTGATTTTAAATGGTGAAACCCAGCTCTAGGAGCTTGTTTCATCCCATATAAAGCTTTCTGACACAAGTGCACATACTGTGGTTAGTAGAATTATACCTTGGGAGTTGTGTCATATAGACAACTTCCTTAAGATTGCCATTTAGGAAGGCATTCTTAACCTCCATCTGGAATATATCTCAATTCTTTCCAGCAGCTACAAAGGTTTTAATAATGGTCATTATGGCTACAGTGCAAAGTTTTTGTTCATAAAGTCCAAGTCATACTCTATACCCTTCTGCACCTGTGTGTGTCCCATACTTATCAAGAGAGTTATCAGGTTAAACTTTTCAGAGTAAACCCATTGGCTTCCTGTTAGGAATTGCAAACCCTAGAATGGGGACTTTGAGAGAGAGAGAGAAGACAACCCACTTCACACGAATTGCTCACATACCATTTACATTGAAAAGAATACATATATATGTTACAAAAGAATAAATGACTATGTTATCATTGGGTGAATAACTCAGAAAATTATAGAAAGAACAAGACACTACTATCTCTTTCTTAACACCCCCCCTCAAGCCGAACATGCGTTTGGTGCATTGAGAGCTTGTTTATTGACTCAAGGTGTTTGCCTCTAGTCAATGCTTTGGTGAACATGTCTGCAATCTGATGGGATGAAGGAATGAATACCATGGAAATAGCACCTGATATGACCTTTTCCCCGATGAAGTGATAATCGAAATCTATATGTTTAGTCCGGGCATGAAAAATAGGATTTGTAGCTAGTTGCATTGCACTTTGATTATCACAGGCTAGAGTGGTGGACTTGGTTAAGGAAACTCCAATTTCTTTAAGAAGCATGCACAATCAAGTGATTTCCGTTGCCACAGTGCTCATAGCTCTATATTCCGACTTTGTGCTTGATCTTGATACTGATGTTTGTTTCTTGCTGCTCCAAGAAATAAGGCTATTACTCAAGAAGATGCAGAATCCAGTAATGGAGCGACGGTCATTGGGACATCCTGCCCAATCAGCATCACTATATGCTTTAAGGTCCAGAGATCCAGAGGATGTATAGAATAAACCATTATGTATAGTACCTTTCAAGTATCTCAAAATTCTTTTGGTTGCTTCCCAATGAGGTTGTCGAGGAGATGGCATAAACTGACAGACTGTATTTACAGCATAGGCAATGTCAAGTAGTGTAAATGTAAGGTATCGGAGACTGTCAATAATGGTTCTATAAAGAAATGGATTAGGTAAGAGCACCCCTTCTTCAGTCTGTAGCTTCTTGCTTACTTCAGCAGGGGTAGGTACAGGCTTACACTCCAACATTTTAGCTTTGGAGAGTAGATCAAGGATATACTTGTGCTAAGTGAGAACGATTCCTCCCCTTGTTCGATGAATTTCAATACCTAAAAAGTATTTCAATTCCCCTAGGTCTTTCATTTCAAATTTCAAGTTCAAAACCTTCTTAAGATGTTGAAGGCCTCTCATATCATTTCCAGTAATGAAAATGTCATCCACATAGATTAAGAATAGAATGATACCTGAGGTTGACTTTTTCGGAAAGAAAGAGTAGTCAACCCTGCTCCTTCGAAAACCAATATTATTGAGTAAGGAGCTAAATTTATCAAACCATGCACAAGGAGCTTGCTTGAGACCATAGATAGCTTTTTGGAGTTTACAAACATAATGTCGATGTAAGGGATCTTCAAAGCCTTTGGGTTGTTGCATGTACACCTCCTCTTTCAAGTCATCATGAAGGAATGCATTCTTCACATCAAGTTGATGAAGTTTCCAATTGAGTTTAGAGGCCATAGTCAAGATACAATGTATAGTCAAGATAATCAATGCCATATTCATGACTAAACCCTTTGGCTACCAGTCTTGACTTAGTCTTTCTATTGAACCATTTGATCTGACCTTGACTTTGTACACCCACTTTCAGCCCGCAATGCTTTTCCCATGTGGCAATAGTACTAAAACCCATGTCTTATTCCTTTTAAGGGCATCGATTTCTTCTTTCATCGAAGCGAGCCAACTAGTGTCAGAGGCAGTATCTTCATAGGTAATCGGTTCTTGGATTTGGGAAATTTTCATTGCAAAGGCTTTATGATTGGAAGACAACTCACAACAAGAGGTAAACCTTTCAATTGGGTACTTAGTTTTTGCATTGTGCAAGGTGGAGTTTGGAGTGGAAGTAGTTGTAGAGTAGACATGGTAATCTGATAGGTGTTTCAGAGGTTGTTGTAGAACGAGAGGAATGGCGTTGTGGCATAGGTAGGTCTTCGGAGGGTGGTTTAGGTAGGTTAGGTGATGTGATGGGAGATGCATCAAGGCTTGAAATAGGTGAAAGAAGAGGTTGTGGTGAGTGCTCCATTGAAGAAGAAGGTTGTGAATCAAACCTGTCAGATTGAGAGGGTGATTGCTGAGGCCTGAGGGTGAGGATGCTGAGATAGTGTTTCTATAACCCCAGAAGAAGAATGTACTTGAGAAGGAGCTTCTCCCTACCATTGAGAGGATATTGGAGTAGGCACTTGCATTTTATTTGGCATAGTGTTACTTGTATGAGCTGGAGAACAATGATCCTTAAACTAGAACCTTGTTTCATCAAAAGTTACATATCTGGCAATAAAGGAGCGGTGCGACGCTTTGTCATAACACCGATAACCTTTATGTTCTAAACTATATCCAACAAAACCACATTCTTGAGCCTTGGGAGAGAACTTGTTTCTTTTAGAGGGATGAATATGTGGAAAGCAAACACAACCAAAGATACGAAGAATGGAGTAATCTGGTTTCCTACAGAAAAACATTTGGAAAGGAGATATGAAGGTCAACACAGAACTTGGTAATCTATTAATGAGATACATTGCAGTGGAGAAGGCTTCTGGCCAAAGAACCTGCGGGAGATCAATTGCAAACTTCATTGAGAGACTACTCTCAACAATATGACGGTGCTTGCATTCCGCAACACGATTTTGTGCTTGTGTGTAGGGACATGAGTGTTGATGGTGGATGCCATGTTGACTCAAATATTCTCTAAATGCATAAGAGGTAAATTCACCACCACCATCAGACCTAAGAGTCTTAAGTTTGCAAGAAAATTGGTGTTCAACATAGGTGTGAAACTTAACAAAACAATCAAACACAATAGACTTAGATTTCAAGAAAAATATCCAAGTATATCGAGTATAATCATCCACAAAAATTACATAAAACCGAGAGCTAGACAATGAAGTAACTGGAGCTGAACCCCAAACATCACTGTGAATTAGATCAAGAGGGGCATTAGTCTTTCTACCAATGGAGTTAAGCAAAACCTCGGAATGCTTACCCAACTGGCAAAATGAATACAATGAACTAGACAGTAAATCATCAACAAACTTTGGGAGAGTT